ATATGGATTTTTTGCCAAGTTCTACACATCTTTTCACACTGAGCAATTGTTTGCGGTGTCTGAATAATTCTCATAGTTTTTAAACAGTGTAAGTAACAAATAAAACAAGATGCTAAAGATCTGCTAAAGAAAGCAAAAACATGTCAGTAAAATCTCGATTTAATGTCCCTTGATTTAAGCAATATCGAACATATTTTGAGTGATTGATTCGTTTTCTACTGCTTATCAACATTTGGAAGGAAAGCCAGAAATATTTTGAGATTGAATTTTTCTTTTTTAGATAATAATGATTTAGTGATACCACTCTTACTAATTACTTGGGGAAGAGCTGATTTAAAACTTTTTCCAAGAGTATTTGAGCCTAAGTGAATATAACGAATCCAACTGGAATTGGAACTCGGCTCTCCTATTAACAATTCCGAATCATTATCCATTACACCATCCGCATATCCAAGCTTACAGCACCTTGTATTCACAAGAAGTCACCCATCTAGATATTGACCATGTTCGATGTTGCTTAACTCTGGTGTTTCAACGCTATATGGCAGTAAACCCAATATCGAACTTAGGGAACCAAATATGACCCACATAGGTTATAAGGAACTGACTTTTTAATCTTACGGAACAAAGTTAGGTAAATGCTAGTACAAGTCATATATCGAGTCCGTGTTAAGTTACTAAATATAAGCAAAGTACGCATCAAAACTGATGGGATTATTTACGTATGAAACTTTGGATATGTTCTAATATTCAGCTATGAGTACATGTAAATTACAGCGCAGTCAGTCCGTCAATCAGTTAGTCAGTTAAGTGCCATACGTCATGCATTTTTGGGTGATCATGTCTCTCATGACTAGGCAGATGATTTTCTTGCAGTAGGTTGAAGTAGACCGGTTGACAACCAAGACTATAGGACTACGGTTAAACTGTGTGAGAGTAGTAGGTAGGGTTTCTCGACCAGACCGTTGAAGGAGAATACCTCTCCCCAACCCACCTGTGCCAAGCGACCATCAGGCAGTTGCCAGCCCGAGGCCAACGGTTTTACCAGTGGGCGAAGGAACTTCTGAAAGGAGGAACGGGATAAACAGAACATCGCCGGTGCAAAAGTAACCGGTAAGCTATTGCACTATTTTGCCTTGAATGTCACCTTGAACCACAATTATCGAGGGGAGTGGTGACCACAGGTGCAAAATGCGCTGAATAAATGATGATGATTTACGCAACGTTGATAATTTGTGTGCTGACTGTCTTGAAACTTGCCTTTTATTTACAAAATGAAGGATTTATCGGATTTAAGGAACAATCGAATTTAGAAAATACACATTCCCTTCAGTTAGTTTTGCATATCGATATCTGTTGTTTGGGACTGAAACCTCATATGCTTTTCCCTATTGACAAAACACTAATATTAATCTAAAATGAGGCAGAGAATACATGTAATATTCGAGAAGAGATATTTTATTCTATTAATCTCCAATGGTAATGTGTATTATATAAATATATTGCTATTACAATGCACCGACTAGATGATATAAATAGTGGTAACAATGATTTTAGTGTAAAAAACGTCTTTATTTTAAGCTTTTACGAGGTTAAAACTTACTTGAAAGAAAAATACTTCAATTTCGTGCCTATCTACATAAGAATACAGTCACTCTTTGTTTTTGATTAATTCAGGAAAAAATGATGATGTTTTAGCTGAAGATGAATTAAAAAAGAAGAACTGGTTGTAAATATAATGTTAGTAAGTGGACATTGTTATCAACATTAAAGAAATTGTTTTAAAACATTGTGATTAGATTTTCCGAAACTCAAAAATGGACACATAAATTATTAATGGGGAGCATAAATTAATGTAATATGATATTCAGAGAAAGATAGAAAGTCAACAGAATTTGGAGTAGATGGACAGAAATATGCAGAATATAAATGGATATAAAGTGGCGCGTTATTTTCAAAGAGGATATAAAGGAATTATCAGCAAAAGGGTTATAGATGAATTACAGAGAAAAACGGGGGACAGGCAGAAAGGACTGAGACAGATAGATAGATAGATAGATAGATAGATAGATAGATAGGTAGGTCGATAGATAGATAGTTAGATAGAAAAGACTGATAATTTAAAAAGAATGAGTGACAAACAGGTAGAAAAGAATGAGAGATAAGCATTGATAGGAAAGGATGAAATTGATAGCCAAAAAAAAACCGATATTAATAGAGAGGGGATACTGAGATTGATAGAAAGACAAGTAGAAAAGACTGAAATTGATTGATAGAAAGACAGAGAGAAAAGCCTGAGATTGATAGCGAGAGAACTGATAGAAAGACAGCTAGAAAAGACTGATATTGATAGAGGAAGGATTGGTAGAAATACAGGTAGAAAAGATTGACATTGATTGCGAGGGGATTGATAGAAAGACAGCTAGAAAAGACTGAGATTTATAGAGAGAGATTGGTAGAAAACAGGTAGAAAAGACTGAGATTTATAGAGGGAAGATTGGTAGAAAAGACTGGGATATATAGAGAGAAGATTGGTAGAAAACAGGTAGAAAAGACTGAGATTTATAGAGAGAAGATTGGTAGAAAAGACTGGGATATATAGAGAGAAGATTGGTAGAAAACAGGTAGAAAAGACTGAGATTGTTAGAGAGAAGAGACCGAGATTAATAGAAAATATGGAAGAAAAGGATGAGATTGAGAGACGGTAGAAAAGATAGGAATGATTAGACAGGTAGAAAAATGAAATTGATAGGCAAAAATGAAAATAAAAATGCAGATCGATGGACATAAAAATGTGGATATCCGTTTAAAGAGAAAAACTGAGAAAGCGCAAACACTGAAAATAAAAGAAAAAAACGTCTAGTAAAAACATAAAAGACTATAAATATAGAAATGTTTGAAGGCGAAAGAGGAGAGACGAAATGGAAAGAAAGAAGAAACGAAAAGGTCTGAATTAATGAAACATTGTGAAAAGAAAATAGAAGTCAAAAGAAGGATGCTTAAGACTGTAAGACGATAGAACACTATAACAATATGTGGGAAAAATGAAAGGTATAACGAGTAGAAGAGACAGTGAGTAAAATGTCGGTAGAAAAAGAGATGTAGAGAACGAAAGAAGAATAGAATAAAAGTGTATGAAGAAATAACGTGCTTAGCAAACCCCGGTGAAACGTAGAAGAAAACAGAAAATGAAATAGAGTAATTGAAAAGCAGAAAATGACGGAGAAGATAAAATAGGCATATGCAAAGTAAGGAAGTGATATGAAAAGAAAAAAAAACGAAGTTGAGATTGAAGAAAAGAGGTTAGAGAGGCGTATAGAAGGCCAAAGGACATGTTTAAATTGAAATGGAGTGGAAAGTACAGGCTATACGCATCATTCAACGTACAAGTAGCAGACTAAACTAAAAGTGACTTAATGACTGTCTGAAGTGTTTGGAAGAAGCAGATGAGCGGAATATCTCGCAAATTATTTGCAAGTAACCATTTTGATAATAAGTTATGTGATTTATTTTAGGTGTACAAATCTCCTGCGGTACAAAAATTCCAGTTTCAGAAAGCAGAAAGTATGGCGATACAAAATAGATGATTAATTAAATATTATTTCACACAGACACAGGAGCAATGAAACATTTCCAGTCCGACCCATTTCTCAAAATCTGTATTAATATAAAGACCGGTAAAAAAACTTAGATTGATAGAGAGAGGAGACTGAGATTGATAAAAAGACAGGTAGAAAAGAGTGAGATTTATAGAAAGACTGGTAGCAAAGACTGAGATTGATAGAGATAGAAGTCTGAGTTTGATAGAGAGAAGAGACTGAAATTGATAGAAAGACAGATAGAAAAGACCGAGATTGATAGAGTGAGGTAACTGAATTCTTTGCCTATTTGGATGCAGGTTCGACTCCTGCCGGAGAGAGCATATTTTTCTTTAATAAGATTTCTCAATATTCAGGCCTACATATTTCCAACAACTGTCTCTGTTTATTAGTTAAATCTTTTTCTTTGTCTAATTCTTAAAGTTATTCTCTTCTTCTTCAATTCAAACACACAATGTTAGAGGTTCAGCCGTAATAGTAATAAAGGAACCGAATCCATTGTGTCTTTTCCAGGCTAACATGCGCTATTAGAAAGGTGTCCTCTTGTGGCTATAAAGACAGTTTTTAAAATTTTCTTGTTGAAAGTGGTTGGTGCGGAAGAGTATTCAGAAAAAATTCTAAAAAAAATAAGAAATCTGCATTTTTTTTATTGATATCAAACTGGAAGTATTTTATATACACCTCTGTTTATAAAATTAATGAGAGATTATATATATATATATATATATATATATATATATATATATATATATATATATATATATATATTTGTTATTTGTGTCAAAGATTTTTTATCTCATTTCCTTACAGGTTACAGGCGATTAGTGCTTTCCAAAGATTTCTTTTTTTTTATTATCTGTGAATTGGAATGACCCCTTGGGAAAGACAGTGGGGTGATATCTCATAAATTTTTTCACTGTTTTGAATTCAAAATTATACTTCTTCTAGGCTGGCTGCTAGCCATAATTAGAGAATTGATTCTACACTGCAATTTTACCCATACATGGTGGAATGGGTAGAATAGATGAATTCATGACTTATCTAAAAGTATTATTGAGAAAGTGAACGCAATATACGATGAACGAATTTGAACTCGGCTCCCCAATAAAGCGTCACGCTATCTTCATTGATCGAATGAGTTTTTTCTTGTACATATCAAACTTTTCCAGGTTGTTTAAAGCCAGAAAATATTTTTAGATTGTAAAATTTTTTTTTAGAGATAGTAATGATTTTTAGATACAAATCCTATTAATTAAGTCATACGAAGAGAAAAGGTCGATTCATAACATTTCAAGGGTATTTGCATTTAAGTGAATATAATGAACCCCACAAGAATTGAACTTGGCTATCTGATTTCCAATTCCGAGCCGTTATCCATTACACCAGCCACACGTCCATGCTTATAGCACCTGGTATGCCGAAGAGGTCACCCATCTAAGTACTCACCAGGATCGACATTGCTTAACTTTGGTGATCGTACGAGAACAGGCGTTTCAACGTGATATGGCCTTAATCCTACGCTATCTTCACACCCATCTTGAAAGAGCAAAAATATTAAACATCTGCTAATTGTAAATCCATTAAATTTTCATCTGAAAGATAAAATTATCTCGATTCGTTTAGGTTGTTGAATGAAAGGTCTTGCTCATAAAGTGATTGCTTTTTCTTTTCGTGTCGCTCTATACACCGGGAATTTCAAAGAGCTTTAAAATGATCATTGTCGTGAAAACACGTCCAGCATATCGTATACAAAGCATTTTGTATTCTGTAAAATATTTCTCATTAGAAATACACGAAGATCATCGTTCTGAGTTTATAAAAGCATACATACACATGCACACAGTGAGGATGGCTCATATTTTCGTCCTTTGTCACATGTAAGCTACGCTTGGAAAATATATATATATATATATATATATATATATATATATATATATATATATATATATATATATATGGGTTTGTGTGTGTGAGTGTGAATTTGTTTACTACTCTCTCCATTACATTGGGTCGATGCGATGCATTTACTATGAAAGGTCGCCAAACTAGAAGCTGGTTATCTTTCAGAGAAGATAGCACACATTTTTTTATGGTAGTCAAGATAAATTACTTTTGTAATATAGAGAGAATTGTTGGCATAGTTTTTAGGTAGAGTGTGTGGCTGTTGGGTGTAAGATTTGAGATTTGTGTTGAAACGCCAAATCGCAAGCAACTCATTTTTGAAAAACAGTTTCAGGCTTAGATCTTAATAAACCAAGTTATAACCAATTAGATCAATCTTCTACCCACCCTCTCTCTGTATATATATATATATATATATATATATATATATATATATATATATATAATAAAGTCACGTGTTCATCTAAACGGCCAAGACCGCCAGTTTCTTACGTGCAGTAATCAGGCGGTAAACTAGCTGTCGTAGCTGGTGACGCTATCATATCAAATATAATGTTCTGCCATTTTGGTATTGAGCACTTTTGTTTTGGAAGTGGGAACGAGTAGGAATTGAAAAAAACATCGCTAAGAGCTACAAAGATAGGAAACTGTGAAGAAAACATAATAGCTCACACCTAGTGGGACGCGAGAAAATAGTATTGCTATCCGGAGTATTTGCCTTGTTATATAACAAGGCAAATACTCCGGATAGCAATACTATTTTCTATTTCTAAGAGCTGGAGCCAGCAAAAATGCAAGCATTGGACCAATCAGTTTCTTTTGAGGAGGCACGGTGGAGTAATGGATAGCGGCTTGGATTGAGGAATCGGAGGGCCGAGTTCGAATTCCAGTCGAATCCATTACATTCACTTACGTGCTAACACCCTTGGGAAAGGTGTGAATCCTCTTTCTTCTCCCTCCAGCTATGGGTAAATAGCAGGACAGACTGAGTTGTATAGCCTTGGATGTCAACTGGTCTAGGAGAAGGAAAACTCTGAATTCAAACCTGCTCTTAGAGGAGGGTGAATGTAGTCTCTCTGAGCCTTGGTTGGCAATCCATTTAGTGTTGGTGTCACGATAAAAACACCCTTGATAGCCCTAGCGAAGCATCAAGAATTCAGCTATTTGACAAGATTATGAACTACACCAATAAAAGTATTGGTGAGTTCAATCTCGGCTGAGGCCGCAAGACAATGTTTCTCGCACTTTTCACCTGTGGAACTCACTTCCATTTCTTGCTTCCCTTCCACCTACAATTTTCAAAAATTTAAATGCAACGGCAATCGCCGTCTTCTGTCTTCCTGAATCCCTTTTCATTATTATTTTTTTCCCGCACTTCTCCACTCTAAAGTCTTCTAGTTCTCTTTCACATCCTGTAACCCCTTGCGTCCTCGTGGCATTATCGGCTTGCTTTAATTCTTTTTTTAAAGCAGCTACAACAACGTTATTTAGCAGTGGTTTACCTTGAGTGATTCCTGGGCCTTTTATTTGGTGAAAAATAGTATAAAGATATTTTTAGAGAGCCTGTGTATATGAATATGCACGTACAGTTAACTATTCATAACCGGCTTAGTTTTTCGGAGTCTTGCTTTTGATACGAAATCTGAGAGAACAGGTATTTTTGTTGTCAGCGCAACATCGCGCCCGTTTCTGTTAACTCGTATGCGCTTATTATCTGACAATTTACTGATTAACTTCTATCTAAATGAAAAAGTTTACCTAATGAGAATTCAATCTCTTCCATACGTAATACGATCTTGGTGGAAATGAACTGCACAAAGGAACGAAAATAGAAAAAAAAGAAAGAAACGAAAAAAAAAAAAATAGGGAAAGAAAAAAAGAAAAGAAAAAATAAAGAAAAACGAAAAGAAAAACGAAAGGAAACAAAATAAGAGAAGAAAAAGAAAAAGAAGAAAGTAAAAAGATAACGGAAAGAAAAATGAAAGGAAATAAAATAAGCAAAGAAAAAGAAAAAAGAAGAGAGAAAAAAGAAAAGAAAAGGAAAACGAAAGGAAACAAAATAAGAGAAGAAAATGAAGAGAGAAAAAGAAAGGAAAAGAAAAGAAAAAGTAAAGAGAAGGAAAACGAAAAGAAATAAAATAAGCGAGGAAAAAGAAAAAGAAGAGAAAAGAGAAAAAGAAAAGAAAAAAGAAATAATAAAGAAAAAGAACAGAAGACAGTAAAGAAAAACAAAACGAGTCTTTTATTCCTTTATTCCAGCATGTTTTCTTATAATCCTACGTTCTTTCTAAAATCGTTAATTAAAGGAATCCGATAGCTAAATACACCCCCTTAGAAGACGTTTAACTAATTAGAAGATAGTTAAGCAGAAGTTTAATATTAAAAAACATATATTAAAGTATTAAAATTCCTTTTGTACTAAAATTTAGTCCTTAAATTTATTTGGAATGGAATTCAAACATTACCTATATTTACACAACGGATAGAAAAGTATGTCTGCTGTATGCGTGATTATTAGAAAACTTAGCATCTATTAAAACTCATTACATCCCAAGCAAGGCGGTTATGCCACAAGCAATAGAGAGTGGTGGTTACAGGGTAGGAAAGGGAAAAAGAAGACTGAGAATAGGGAGGATCGAGGAAAGGACAAATGATGAACGGGGGTTGAAGAAGACAGTAGATGACGATTGAAGTTGCATTTAAATCTTTGAAAATTTTAGTTACTAGCGGTGGGATCAAGTAAACGGAAGGGATTTCCAAAGGTGGGAAGTACGAGAAAAGAAACTGTTGGAGTAGAAGTAGCGTTTGCAGTTAGCTATTTCTACAGTAAACGGGTGACACCTAGCAGCACGATTAAATTCATGTTCTCGGGGCACCAGGGGGAAAAAAAAAGTTGTGCAGAGCACTTGCCATGCAAAAAAAAAAAAAAAAAATCATAGAAAAACAGGGAAGCCACGTTACGTTGGTGAGAAAGTGACTGAAGTCGAGATGCATGGTCAGGATAGATTTCATTACAGATCCTTCTTTGGATTTTGTCAAGAATCTCTAGATGTACAGCGGGAGCACCGAACCAGAGCCTCGTAGATTAATTTGCTAGGGCGTGGTAAGACGAAATACATCCCACATGAAATACCTCCCACTTAATGTTAAGACATTAGTGGCGATGGTGTCTTCAGCCAGCTAATGTCTTATCATTATGTGGGAGGTATTTCTGGGAATTAAATGTGGGAGTAATTTCTGTCGCACCCTTTATAATGATTTTGGATCCAGACTGGTGCTTTGCTAATATGGCTTTGTGCCATAAATAAACTTTTGTGATGGGAGGGCTTCCTTCATATTAATTTACATGAATCAGACATGATTAGTGGCGATGTTGTTGTGACAGTCTGGGGCTTTTAACAGTAGATTTGAAATCAAGGTGGGTGATTTTCTGGAAAGACTGACGTCAAATATCTTTCTTACATACGTGTGTTTGTAATATCTCTAATGTCTATGCGAACAATCGTAAATTTGTTAGTGAATACGATAATGTTTACGTGAAATCTTTCAGGCGTAAAACAACAAGAGCTCCAATGTCTTTGCTTAGGTTCACTACACAATATTAAGAATTATCTGATGCGTGGGTTGTGTAACAGTTGTCAGTGCGTAAAGCTGAATTATCGAAGCGAGTTCAAATTCCGTCCAAGTCTATTGTGTTTACTTTCTCATTTATGGAAAAGGTATGAATGCATCTATTCTTCTCCACTAATTATGTGTGAAACTGCAGTGTACATTTTTTTAAGTCCAGGGTGGCAGTTATTCTAGGAGGACTACATTAACTGTAAAAGCGTAAAGGAGGCAACTACTCCACTATCTTTCCAAATAAATCATAAATCATTGAAGTAAATTAATTTGTGGAGAGTCCCTATGTTTTGAAGGGACGTGACATTAACAAAATTCTATTATAATTGTACTAGTCCATCTCTTCGTTAGTTAATACGTCCTTCATGCCCTGTCAATACCTCATAAATAATAGACTATTCCGTGTTTTGATTAAGTGGAAAGAGGGGAGAAGGCATCACTTGATTCCAGTTCGAAAATGAAAGAAAGTGGAGAGGGAGAATCAGATTAAGCTATTAAGAACAGATACTACACTTTGATATCAGCCAGAAGGCAGAAAACCTATGGCGACAACAATAAATGTGTCATTTTTCAGACACACAGTATCGAACGACGTAAATCGAGTAAGGCAAAAAAAAAAAAAAAAAAAAAAAATACTATAAATAAAATAACGTCGTCTGCTGAAATATTTAAGAGAAATGTTCGTAAATAGGACAAAATGTGGCTTGTTAATTTTAACGCCTTAAAAATGAAACTGCTCTCATTTAAACATATAACCCTTAAAGATAATGCTTTTTACCATACATTAGCATGGCTGATGCTAACCCTCAGGAGAATGACTTATTGGACTAAAGTTTTCAGCTGACATAAAGAAAGAATTTATTGAATCAAATACTCAGTCTGTCTTTAAGGAAGTTGGTTCACGGTGTTGTGCGAGATAATTTTTCCCGTCAGAATCCATCTTACATATATATGTCTACCATTTGCCCTTGCTTTGAATATTGCTG